GACATCATTGACAGAGCCCCCGTCCTCCGGGACATCATTGACAGAGCCCCCGTCCTCTGGGACAGCATTGGCAGAGCCCCCCATCATCCGCGACAGCATTGACAGAGCCCCCTGTCCTCTGGGACAACAGAAATTTAGGTTCCCCCAGGACCTGCTCTGCAGCTTCCTGTTTCGTGTCCCTGAAGTGGAAGCAATCTGCTTCTCAGCCCTCGGCCCTGCACCCAGTCGGCATCTTGAGAACAGGCCTCCTGCTCGGTGATGTGGACTCCCCAGTTTTATTCAGGGTCAGGACTGTCCCTCCTAGTCCCCTGCCCTTCACTTCCTCAGCACCCCTTGTCCTCACCCCTCACCTCCGCGGCATGCCCCTGCCCCCATACCTCGCCTCTTCTGTATCCCCTGCCCCCTAACTCACCCCCCCTCAGCACCCCACATCCCCTGCCCTCCATCAGCACCGCCTCTATTCTCCACTCCCCACTCAACTTATTTTTTTGAGGAGCAGATGGTGTCTCTCCTGTACAGACGTGAAGTCAGTTGGCCAGGGACTGGGTGCCTCTGGAACACAGTGAAAAAATGATTAGGAAAGAAACCATTGCTGCTCCGCCACTCGCTGCCCGCCCTTCTCAAGCCTGTAGGTCAGAGCAGAACCACCTGCAGGAGCCCTGAGGCTGTGACTCCCCAGGGAGGGAGGGCCTCACCTTTCTCCCTCAGAATGGCTAGTGGGTTTGAACCCTTGACTTTTTGGCCGTCAGGTTTTTTGTGTTTTGGGTTGGTTTTTTTTTTCAAATGAGTTGGTTTAATTCCAGGTGGTACAGAATTCTGGGCAGGATGAAGAATGAAGAGGTTCTGACAGGATTCTGGATTGCATTTACTTTGCACAGCTAAGATCACAAAGGCTGGGTGAGACCTGGAGACCATCATGGGGTTTCTTCCTCTTCACTGTTTCACAAGTTTCTTCTCGAATGTACAACAGGCTCCAAGACAACACTTCACTTTGACTACAGGTGGTGACAGACGTTCCAGCAGAGAATGCGGATGTTTTAGAAAGGTACGGAAGTAAGGGTCATCATTGCCTCAGTCTTATTTTAGCCAGATTTCTTCATTCCAGCCGTGGCCAGGGGACCTTTGCTCGTGGCCTTCCC